AGTCGATTGCTGTTCCATAAAAAAAAATGAAGAGGCTATATGTTCTTTGGAAACTGTCGGAGTTTCAACCTGTATACTATTCTGTCGATCAACGTTAAATCGATCTGATCTCCGAGCAGTTACTGGTTTTATAAAAGGAGGAGTGAAAATGGAGAGAGGAGAAATAGCATTTTTTACTTTAAAAAAATGTAGCAGCCTAAAATATTTTCTCGTTATCCTTAAATCTGGAAGTTTCAGTTTACTAACCAAAGATATTGCAGATCCATCGAATTTCTTAGATATCATTCGTGCCGTTAATCTAGTGACTTTTTCAAGCTCACCTCCATACCATTTACTATCATAGACAATGCTACCATAGTCCAGTTTATTTAGAATACCTGATTTAAAAATCGCTAACCGAATCATCACTAGTGCGTCTCTAAAAGTTCTAAACATTGCTCCCAGACGCCTTTTGCATGCAAGAGATACATCTCTAATATGCCCTCCCCATGATAAATCTGAGCTTAGCCGTACTCCAAGAAGCACTAATGACGTTTCACGCTTAATCACAGTTTCATTGACAGTAAAATTAAACGAGCTTTCTCCCACTTTTTCTCTTAAAATTATTTGAGAGCAAAATCTTTCTTCAACATTTTCTTGAAAGAGAAAATAGCTCAAATTAATTTCAATAATATCATTAACATTCAAATTTATTTTATTGTTTATTCTTTTTGGTTATCCTAACCTGTAGTTACTTCAGTAAACGTTATGCTCAACAGAAAGAGATTTTCCCGACAGCCAGTGTGTCATACTTGGACAGAAAAAGTTTCCGTTACTGCTTCGACCGTTATCGACCAAACGGTAACTAGAAAAACAGTTGCCGTTAAAGTAACGGTAACTGTGTTTTCAATCAGCGTTGAATCAGTGCTAACTAAAAAGACAATTATCTTTACTTTAACGATAACTGCCTTTTCAGTTAGCTTTGAAATATCGGTAACTATCAACTGATTAACTTTACGGTAATTGTTTCTTTCTTCTAATTATTCTGAATTTCTCTTAATCCTAATTTGAAAATTAAGTTTATGGAAATAATTCTGTATGCTAAATTTATATTGCTTATCAATCTCAGCTGCTCAACCAATAATGCTTAATGAAATAATTTGATTGTTTTGTGATTAAGTAAAAGAGTTTTAGTACATGTATTGCAGAAGATAACATACAGGGACTTCTAGTCAATGTTCTTTCTATGTTTTGTGAAGTAAAATATATTGATTATAACCGACGATTAAGATGAAGGACGGGGGCTTATAAGAGTCAAAATTTTCCCTTGATATTTCTGAACAAGAGTTACATATTCAGAATTAGCATTAAATTCTGTGTCGAATGAGGTATATGGCACCTTGGAAAAACCATTTTCAATTTTTCAGAAAATTTTTAGTCCCTATCCCATCTTTGAAACATCGAAAAAATTTTTTACTCAGAATTTTTCTAAAGATACTTTATTCGATGCAGAATTTGATGTTGATCGTGAATATCAGGTCAAACTGAAAAATAGTTAAGTTTTGATCGAAAAAAATTGATTTTACTGACAGATGGCGTCAGCGACCTGGTTCATTAAAAACAGTTTTTTTCCCTTGGATTTGGTACGGAAACCTCCAAAACCACCTAGATATACTCAAAAATGTCTCGGCTTTCTGATACGGAACAGAAATCCGCTTCAAACTAGTGTTTTCAGGTTAAAAAAGCCACTGGAGGTCGAAAATTCGTGAAAAACCAGTTATTCGGCCTCGTCATTTGACTTTTTCGCCAATAGGATATGAGGTAACATTACCAGAATAACATAGATATATGCAGTTTTCAATGCTCTATCAAAGCAATAGTAAAATGTGCTTTCCAAAGTTTAGCCATTTTGGAAAAATCCGGTTTTTCCAACTAAGGTTTTTCAGAAAACCTTACAAAGTCCAGTTTGCGCAGGATTCGACCACAAAACCCAATGAATTTAAGATTAAATATGTTTGCACATATTTTTCAGGTAATGGTGTAATGCAAGCTCAAGTAGGCATGGTAGCACAATGTACAAAGAACTAGATGTCATCGCATCCCAACGATATATTTTCACGATCGCCTACTTTAGTTCGTCGAGTCACAGTCCTGGAGACTTCATAGGAAGAAAATTTTGAGTAGGTGTGTTAATTGCATCTATTTTTTGAATAAATGAATTCTAGAGTCTTCAGTATCCGTCGACTGGGTTTGTGCTGATTTTTGTTCTGTTGATTGTGACAGCTCATTTGATAGTCATTTCTGAAATGATCTTATCCGAGAGCGGTTCTGATGTAATCGCTATATAGTGATACTGACCGGTGTACGAATGTACTGCCTAGCACATGGTCTAAATCTAGTGATTCCGTACATGCTACTCTCAGAAGTATTAGATCTAGTTTCTAACTGCGTGGATATTTCTAATATAGTTAAAAAGTAGTTGTCGTTGGCTTAATGCTAACTAAACATACAGTTACCGTTCGTTACTTTAACGGAAATTAAGAAAATAGTTATTAGTGTTAAATGAACGTAACGGGAACTTTCTCAGTCCTGGATATATGTTTATAAAAGAAACTTCTGTTTTCTTACTTGTATGACCTTCTTCTAAAAAAATTTACTCGTCACGCTGACTGCAACGAAATACAGAACAAACATAAAATGGTCGTATATTTCAACTGCCGTGCTTCAACAACGAAGGAAAAAAAAATTTTTTTCTTTTCTGTTTCGAGAAGCAGGCACATGGCGACAAACATATTGGCAACTACACACAAAGGTTGAGGCTACGAACGCTCCTTCTGTTTGATGCTCAGAAAACGCACAAGATCGTGATTCACGATTGTTGAGTTTATGAAATCTGAAGAAGTCAGAAGAAAGAGAATCAGTAGAAAGAGAAATCCGTTTTCTACAAAATACCGCAAAAATGAGCTTCGTTTTGCTATATATGACATTTCTAGGATGCTTTTTTGAAAAGGAGTACCTAACTAAGAAAGAAAACGTCGCCATATTTAAAATAGGACTTTGCAAAACATAACATAGACAAAAAGATAACCTACAATAATAAAACTTCTAACAGAAAGAGACGGATAGTACTTATACAAAAGTATAAAAAGACGGCTTTTTACATTCCTGCGTTTTTCTCTCGTCAGGACAGTGACTACGACGGAATAAAGAAGAAACATAAATTGATCGTACTGCTTCACCAACGAAAGAAACACAAAAGAAAGCCTTTTTTCCTTTTTGTTTCGAGACGCAGACACATTATGACAAATATATTGGCAACTACACATAAAGTGAAGGCTACGGTTTTTAACCCTCCTTCTGTTTCATGCTCAAAAGACGCACAAGATCGCGATCTACGGTATGTCATTTATAGCTCTCTAAATCTTTCATCTCCATTCCTTCATTTGTTTTTCAGTAATGTACATTAGATAAAACCCGAGTTTCAGTATCTGTTTGTTGAAAACAAATATTCTTGTGGGCCATTATCCCTTGAGAAATAGAAAATTTGAAAGTAGACAGGAACGAGAGGGAATAAGCGTCTTTTCCTTCGATAAGTATTGAAATATCTTAGCAGCATGCCAAAGAGATATGCACGCTCAAGTTCAGAACTGGATTTTTCGCCAGATAATTTATAATGATCTTTTTTTACGGTATCTAAGCTTCGTCTGGGCCCACATGGACTGTTGGCGTTGATCTTTGAAAAATCGGTCTGTTGAGACCCATCCTGAAATTCAACATGAAGGGATTTTGATTCATCTGTTTTGTAGAGTATGTCGAGTTACATGTATTAAACAATTTTCAAACGTAAAGATTGAGTTTTGGATGAATTCATGGAATTTCATTTTAAAAATAGGTGAAAAGTCGATGCTTTCCAGTAAATCGCTATGTAAAACTTTCAAATCATCCACAGCTCAATCTTTAAGTCTGGAAATTTTTTCATACAGGTAATTTGACATGCTCTGCAAGACAGATGAGTCAAAATCTCTTCATCTGGGATTTCAGGATGGGTCTCAAGGGCCCGGTTTTCCAAAGATCCACGTCAAAAGTCCGTATGGGCCTAAATGAAGCTCATATTTGTGAGCAGCGTCGGAAATTACCTATAACCATGTATATTTCAAGTAAAAAGCGATTGGATACTTGGGATCTTGTCTCGTCAGCTTTTAATGCCGATACTGATAATGGTATCATTTTTGTGAAAAAGTTGGGTTTTTAGAGAGAAAACGGCAAAATACGAGCCTAGTTTCATTGTTTTCACACTGATTTCGGAAAATTGAATTTCTGTGCAACGAAGTAAAAGTGTTCAAAAAGAATTTTCTCTGAAGTATGACGATCAGAATGAAGTAAAAGAAAGAATTTTATTTGCAATACTCTAGGACTAGATATGCTTGCATAATAGACTAGGAACCCCTTTACCATTCTGCTCGTATTTCGCGGTTTCCGAGTCCATTTTAGCTTCTGAAATTTCGAATGTTTAGACTCAGTTTTCAATGAAAAATCAGAAAGAAATGGCAAACATGAAAAGTTTGCTTATCATTCAAACATTTTCTCAGTTTTGTCCATTTTCACAAAAATCGATATTTTAACATTCTTTTTGAATTTCTGGCACCTTAGCAAACAGCTGAGCACAAGAATAATCAATTGTACTCTATTAGATGCACCTGACACACTTTGCTAGTCATTGACAAAAAATTTAGAGGATATGTGAAATTGCAGCAGTATAATGTACACAGAACGAGTGTAAAAGAAAAATCTTAAATTATACATATCATACATTAACAAATTATACATTTTGGTTTGAGTTTTTGAAGTATTTTATCAAAAGTAAAATCACTCGAAATAATCATTCGTTGAGTGTTGTCTCTTTATGCCTGTAGATGGAACAAAGGGTAGTTGATTTACAGTAAGTGGAATTGCAACATGTGACCTCTGAAATGAAATAAAATATCGTAATTCTCCTAAAGGAAGAAAATCTTCTAGTTACCTTGCCAGCGCATACTGCGTTTACTAAGGCTTCATTTCTGGTAGACGAATCCAAATTTAATTGTGCCAGTAAAACTAAAACAAATATTGTCATGTCAACAGAAGTGATATTTTCCAATATTCAGGCCCTACTGCGACGAAAGCAGTTAACATAACACGCGCATCTACGTGCCGAGGTCACTTTCAATCCGTCATGAACGGATTCAAATCCGCAGCCAGGACACAGGACTACACATAGGGAGGGGACGCGGAAAGACACATCGTCCAATTAACGCAAAACCTTGTTGTCGTTCTTTTTCGTTCTACCTCAGACAACTTACTTTTTAGGAATTTCACAAGACTAATCGAGTCAGAGTCGATGCAAGCAGATACCTCGACATTTAGAAGTACTTTAGTTAGAAGCACTACAGCATAATCTAACAACAGCATTTAGATTAATTTCATTTAACTTACCATTGAGTGCTTTACAATAGTTATATTGTAATCTTGCTATTTCATCATCATCATAGCAAACATAAATATACGCTCTTGCAGAAGTACGATATTCCGGTATAATCAAACTAACACTTGTGCCTTTTCGTTTGAATTCAATTTTTTCATTCCAATCTTTTCCATCAGTTATTGATATTGATAAATCTGAAAAATGGAGAATGTTTTTATTTTTCATACAAAATTTATGTTACATCTATGTAATATACTTTCTGTCTTCATTGTGCCTTTTAAAATCAAAATAACAGTTTCTCCACCTTGGCATGGACCATAATGAGGTGCATATTCTTCTACACCTACTTTTCCGTAAGCTAGATAAAAGGTGATTAAATATCTGTTATCGCTTCTTACCACAAGAGAAAAATACAATCTCCTATACCTTCAACCAAAGCATTACTGATTTGGGTTGTTTCTGGAGCACAGATTATATTAGATTTTTCGTCAATATAACATTGTGTAAAAGATATATGTGATATGTTCAAGTGTCTGTTATGAATAATATCTTTAGTGATTATTATGCCATCTTGCAATGGTTTCGTTATTTCGATTAAAAACCTGTTAAAAAATATGTATTATATCATAAAAATATTTATCGTGTGTAAACTCTGTTAACATACGTTTTAAATTTATTATCATAATCTGTTTTTGTTACCAGAAAATAAACAGCATTCTCTTTTTCGTTATTAATAATTGCATGATCATTTTCATCAATTCCTATGGGTGAACACACAATAAGTCCTTCCTTATTGACTTTTTTACGCGATGGAAGTTTCCCTTTAATCGGATAGAGATGTGGCTGACCAGTTGTATCAATTAGTTGAACTTTGATGTAGATACGTCCCTTTTTCTGCCATATACGATCAACCTTTAATCAAATAAAGAAAGAGAAAAAAACAGCTCTTGTCATATTTGTCCGATATTATTTGTTCGACACGGCCAGAAAACTCTGCTACCGGGGTGGAATTCCGTGACGTAGTTTTGACATTTTGTTGTGTTTATACTTTTTTAACATAAGCACGTGCAGTGTTGTGGAACATCCAGAATTGTAAAGCAAACGTTTCTCTACAAATTGAGGCGTCGCGAGGCTCTGTACGTTTCTTTGTTTAAATCATAAATCGTAAATACTAACGACTGCAGAGGAAAATGTCAAAATTTTGTCGCGGAATTTAACTTCGTAGCAGAGTTATCTGGCTATGCCGTGTTGCAATTTAGCTGAATAAGGACAGAATTAATCGTATAGAGAGACAGAAATCATTTTATCAGAAGCGTTCGATTATAGCTGTCTGGTCCATTTCTGTTTCATTATCACTAGAACTGTCGCTGGAACACTGCAAGAAGAAGAAACAGAACACTATCGAATATTTGATAGTGTAGTGTTTGAAATGTGTTGTCTTAAATAAAGCTAAAACAAAATGATTGTCGTCGCTGTGTGATTAATCCTTTTTGCCATTTTAATGTATTTTTTCAATCGTTAAAAATAAGACAAAACAGGTGTTTCATCCCAATGAAAGTTAGTGACCTTTTGGCTGTTAGTGAGTTTTCTTTGCTTTCTGGGGCAGAGATCTGAACTCATTCTTTCACCACACGTCTCATGAATGTCGAACTATAGCGAGCTTCCTTGCAACTTCATACATCGACTTTCGAAAGCTATAATAATACTATGATGATTTTTTACCTTAATAGCTGGATACAAATATTTTCCATTAGAACCTATAAAATGTGCAGTGTTTTCGCTTTCTTTTTGTGTTCTTGGATGATATTCAGATCTAGGTTGATCTAATATCACGATGAGATTCGAATCCGATGAACGAGTAGCAGATACTATATCATCATTTGATGCTCTGGGATTCAAGTGTTCCTCCATTTCAGCATTTGGTTGAACTTGAACTGATCTTCTTATTTCTGGAATTTCTAAGAAAACAGTTTGAAAGTTTATCAATAGCAGAGTGTAAGTTGATGTGGTTGAAAAGCTTACGTTGAAAATGTAATGGTTCCACTGGTTGCGTTGTTGATAATGTTATTGAATTGGACGAATCCTTGCATCGTTGAACTATTAAACACATGTATATATATAGTAGAGAAACATTTGGAGTGTCGAGACAAAGAATTACAATTAAAAATGCTTCGTACCTGTTGATGTTCTAAAATTTTCTTTTAGCTTCTTTTTTCTTGACCTTGTTCGTTCATCGATGCTAGTGTCTGTATGTGATGAGCAATACATTAGAATAAGATCAGGCGACTTTTTGTTTGATGAAAAACTTACTATTAAGAGTTTCTGATTGATTATATTCTTTCACAATTGTACCAATTTTTTCATTTTTTCCTTCACCTGCAGAAAGCAAAGCAAAGAAAATGAACCATTTAATATTCTAAAAAAACTATTTTAACATACCGTTAATATCATGAGGAAAAGTTGGTATGGAAGACTCAGTTGACAATGGTATTGGAGTATGATAAATTGGTAGCAAACTTTGCTGTGCTAATTTTAATTCATCCGAGATCACCATTTCTGAAGTGTCATGCATGTCTTCAGTGGATGAAAACACATCCTCGGTTGGAGAAATTGTATTAGGGTTGTGACACATCTCGCTAAAATTTGCACCAGGTACAAGTAATGATGAAAACGAACCCTCGGTTAGAGGAATTGTATTGGGGTTGTGACACATCTCGCTAAAATTTGCACCAGGTACAAGTAATGCTGAAAGCCAATCCTCGGTTGGAGGAATTGTATTAGGGTTGTGACACATCTCGCTAAAATTTGCACCAGGTACAAGTAATGATGAAAACGAATCCTCGGTTGGAGGAATTCCATTGGGGTTGTGACACATCTCGCTAAAATTTGCACCAGGTACAAGTAATGATGAAAACGAATCCTCGGTTGGAGGAATTGCATTGGGGTTGTCACACATCTTGCTGAATTCTGCACTGGCTACAAATAATAAAGTAAACGTTTAAAATCTGTTTTAGAAACATCATATACAAATGTGAAAGTCGATTTGAATAGTTATATTTAGTTAAGTTTAGAACCGCTTTGTAGTTACTAGAGACTCAGATAGAATTCATTTCTGAAGAATGAAAAGAAGATGCCACGATCGATTTCAACCTTTCTCAAGTGTCTCGTCCGGTGGTTTCCGTCGAAAAATGCGAACGAGCATGACTATTAAAAGAATGGGTGACCACTTCTGATGAACAAACCATGCATTATTATGGAGTTAATCACTATAAAATAGAGAATTGTGATGTAATGTCGTTCTCTATTCTGTTAAAACTGCGATTAGTAAGAAGATGAGTGAGCACTTCCCAGGATCGAACAATAAATACGGTGCTTTTCACATTTATTTCAATGGTTGTTGAGTGAAAGTTACTAGATACGGTTTAAGTTTAAAAGGATGAATCATTTCTGATAGACTGAAAAGAAATACTTAATGTAGAGAAGCAGAACATGGGCATTGCATAGTGATATCGTGCTTCGCTCTCGTCGTGTGAAAGTTTCTTTGTTCGATAAGAACAAGGAATAGTAACACCCTCATACAATGCGACGGAGTTGTGTTACTTGTCGTGCTTTAACTTCGTCTTTGTCGAAAGAAACCACTTGACGAGCCCCTTGAGAAAGGTCGAAACCGGTCGTGGTACCTCCTTTTGATTGTTCCAGAAATGTATTCGGTCTCAGTCTCTAATAACTACAAAGTAGTTGTAAAATTAACTAAATATAATTTAAAAAAATCACTACTCAGTCTGATTATGACCGTTCATAATAGTAGTCAGATTTACCAAAACACTACAAGCGAAAGAAAAAGACATTTTCTTCACAAATCCATGTTAAACAACTAGCCGTTTAATATAGCTAATAAAACACATGAATTCCATCATAAATTAACATACAGAATTCAATGCATGAGTTAACTGACAAATCCTTAAAGCAAAATTCACATATACCTATAATATTTCCAGCTCGTTGATGCGTTGTACAAGTGTTTAGCAGGCCGTCATCTTTGTTCGTTTTATGTGGTTTAACTTGACTGATGGTATTATAGTTTGCGTGGCTTTGAGTTGAAATATATAGACCTGTGTCTGCATTGTCAGCCGATTGTGGGTATGAAAAACAGTTTTGTTGCGGATTAGATACCCCAAGCACACAGTAATCGACATTTTCTAGATTGCTCGGATGGGTACCAGTGTTCATATCAGATGATTCAAAATCTTCACGATACTGTTGAAAATCTGGTAAATTGAACGCAAAATTATTGATATAAGATAAGCAAAACAGAAGGATACATCGTCCGATTAACGAAAAACGTTGCTGTCGTTCTTTTTCATTCTACCTCAGACAACTTACTTTTTAGGAATTTCACAAGACTAAGGAGAGAAAGGGCTGGGCAATTCCAACTTCGGAGTTGAGGATTTTTTGGTGGAGCTGGAGTTGGAGTTCGAGTGGATTTGGAGTTGAAAGTCAGCGGACTAGCCCAGTCTCGGTCGGAATTATCGAAATTTTGGCCGACCAGTCGGTATGTAGTCCGATTTTCGACTAGTCGGAATTCTCAACCAGTCGAACGGATCAACATCGACTGGTCGCCGTTTTTTCGACTAGCCGTTAAGTAGTCGATCAGTTCTCGACTAGTCGAAATCATCAAATCACTCATTCACATTTTTCTTTTCCTGTTTGTGCTACTTTATAGAAACTACTGATTATTTCAGCATCGGACAAGTTTCATCTGTATATGTAGTAAATTTTCTGACGAGGGAACACCCCCAGGTGCCCCGCTCCGATTTCGTTCGTTCATACATCATTCGATAGGGGACCTCGAGTAGGTAAAAAGCCTAAAAGGATTTCGGCCGACGGCTTTTCCTTCGAAACTTAC